TTATCCCTGCTATCCGCTAATAAAGTGTAGTTACCAATTCGTATTACCTTCTGATTTCAAGCACCGTTGAGATTTATATTATAACGGTTATAGAGTTGATCGATTAAAGAAGCAAAGCCACTACACAGCATTCTTCACTTTCAAGTAGGGTTCTATTGTTTGCTGACATAGATTAACCAACAGGAGACCTTGCAACGTACGTTTAGCATAAATTGGCAAGTTTGTAATCATCAGACAATACCGTAGATATTCCATTTTCGTTTATTTCTAGCAATATATGACTATGTCGACTTATCATGATGGTTTAGTAATTCAAAATAATTGTTTAATTTTTATTTTTTTTGATTGTGTGGTAGATTGCCAGTTACGGAGTCATTCTAAAAGCATTTATTGTTTTATGGAAAACAGGTCATTATTCCATTATTGTAATTTATGTTTACAATGTAGTGTACATATACTAAGTAAAGCTCAGCTATATTTATATGATCGATACTTACTTATTCACTTAAGTCTCCGAATTCGTTTGCAAAGTAAGTTATAATTTCCTGTTTTTTCCTTATTCAGCCTCTCCTAAAAAAACAAACCGGATCATCAGTAAGAAGTTTATGTTTTAAAGATACATAAAAGTAATTGTTGCTGAGGGACCAGAATACTGTACTCAGAAGATATACAAAAACATGAGAGATGCAGTTATGATGTAGGGTCGGGACGAATAGCTTAGAGACTGAGATTTCATGGTGAACATTAAAGGATTACTACTTATTGCTTGTGGGTCTATTTGGACGTTAGATGAAAATGCCATAGTCCAAGGATACCTATTGCATTTTCAATTTTTTGGGAGATAACAACAAAAACAAACTTGTAAACCATAATCATATCAGGCTGAACCATTGTGCAGTAAGTTCATCTCACAATATCAACTGCCCTCTTCCTAGTTGGGTTAACTGCAACACACTTGTGTCCTCGCAAACACAGAACCTGTGGATTGCTACTGGATCCACACAAGATTGCTTGTTGGACGGTCAGATGTGAATTTGCAATTTTAAGTGTCCATTGTCTTTTGTCGATGCTGCAGGCTAAACAAGACTGGAGGCGGAGTGGCAATGTTTACGCACCGATAGTATGTACTGACCATGGTACAGTCACGTTTAACGTGGTCACAAACGAAATACTTAGAAGAGACGGGAATGTTTCACACCTTAGCTACATTGGGGTATACTATAAAATGATGATTAAGTATCTTCAACATGCTCGATGGTCACGAAAGTGGTGGAGGCTAACAGTGGAAAACTGTTTGGATGTAGTGAGAGACGTCATCCATGATTCTATCACACAACGTGTCCCAGAGTTAGCTAACTCTGAAATGCAAAGATCCTAATCTGAGTAAGGCACATTTAGCCTGCTTCCGGTCAAACGGAGGGTTCGATAAGATTGGAGAATTTCCCTGAGGGATTCTGATTGTAGCTCTCACATAGTATTGAGAAGCAAATGCAACCCTCAAGTTCAATGTAATAGGAGATGTTTTCAGATCAAACTGGTGGCCAGAATGCAAGCCTACCACAAATATCTCTACAGAAGGACCTTACAACTGAAGGGGAATGGGGAGCAGTAAGTGGGTTAAAATTTAACATTTCGAAATGTCATGTCATGACATTCAGTGTCACCCGGTACAAAACACTTATAATCTCCGTGAAAATCATCCCATAATTGATCCCTCAGACAAACACAACTCTCCACTTCATGCGTAGACAACTTGGGACAATCGCATCAGAATTGTTCCTAATTTTCTTTCAAACGTACGCACGGTTGCGACCTGCAGTCCACAATGTTATCCTGCATTCGTAGAGGCAACTGTCGATAGATTACACATTTAGGAGAAATCACTCTGATACCCTATAACACCTGAAGTAACACAAGCCATCTCAGTGGATTGTCTCGAGAGAAAATTTGACAACTATGCACCCACCCATTGATCAGATGAGTCTGAAGAATGTCTCACAAATCAATCACCGTTATCACTGTAGAATAGCTTTGACCGCTTCCCATCTCGCTTATTATTAGCTCTTTTTCTCTCTTTTTTTTAAAAATTTCATCTTACCAATTAAGTAAATCACCTATTTATACTAGAAATAATCGTCTTCTCTTAGCATTCGAATTATCGCTGTTTGCTTTTAACGTTGGGAATAGTCGACATCCTACCAGGTAATGTGACAACTTCTGATATCCAGAAACCCTTTTGCCTTGAGACAGGTCGCTGGAATTATAAAATATACTAACAGCCATTCTGAATAGAATATGTCTAGTGAGGTGACCAGAATATCGTTCATTGAACATCAAAAAATACCCCTAACCGTAAAAAAAACAACGGGAGACGTGAGCGAAATATTAACTGGTTTATGCAATGCCACGACAAATACTTTTTATATTGAATGTTGAGTATTAGAAATGTCGCGGAATTGTTGATCCCGTCGTTACATAAAGGCAAACCGTCGACGTATAGACAGGAATGGATTACTTCTTCTTTGTTTAATTTGCACGAAGTTAAAATCCTCGACCATCTAAAAAAGGTTGGAATGCGACACGTTTAGATGTTCTAAAATATTTTTTTCACACTAGTCATGTAATGTTATCTTGTTTCTCCGCCTTGTAAATTGAAACGAAAGGAGAATTCGCGTTGTCCAGTTTGTGAATTAAAGTTTGTTCGAACATGTGTGTTCGCGATGTCTCTCGGGAATTGGATAGCATATTTCTTTCATTATTTTGTGTACCCATCCTTTTAGGCTTTCCATCTCAATCTCTCTATTTTTGAGAAAAAAAACTGCAAATTTCTGTAAAAACCCCACGGTTAGAACAAATCTTGGTGCTAACACTCGTACTATCTTCTAAGATTCTTTTAAACTACTGTTGAAACATAGTATTGAGGACATTTTCTTCAAAGTTAAGGGAACGAGATTTGTCAGTTCCGTATACATGTATTTCACAAGAGCCGTCCTCTTACCATATGTGAATATATATATATATATATATATATTGATACATTCACGACTATAGTCTTGTTTAGGTTGACAGTGTGGTCTCAAACGTTATCAGTTGAACGGTTGCTCATTACTAGGGATTGGACTGGTAGTTTTTGAATGCAGTTTCTCCTTATCTACTTCAAATAAAGAGAGCAGATAATATCATTTGTCCACTATAGCTCATAAATAACCACACGCATCTGGATTTGTTAACCGGCTTATATGGTATGTAAAGTGTGGTTATGTCAGTTGACCTAAATTATGGTTCCATTTTGCAAATGTCGTTATTAATTTATGGTTGACCTTATATTTTATTTATGTGATAGTTTTACTGCGGAGTCAATCTAAAATAATGGTACTTTGACACTCGGGCACAAGATTGCCAGCTAAATGAGTGTAGTGACTTGTTAGCGGGTAAGTGTTGTACTAATCAAATACCGCTTATTACACTGAACTGGAATTAAACTCTGTCTGACTAATAGCTTCCAAGACCACTCTATGAGGGTGTTGGTAAATGTTGGCGTAGTTACCTGACAAACCCCATGTATGTATTACTCGATAATATATAAGTGATCACTGCAGCAAATGTATAGTGATATGTGTATTCTTGTGGTTGATGATTTGAATTAGGTAGTAATAATGCTTCTATCTTGGAAGTCTAGTAGAGCGTGTTTAGCTGATTAGAGAAGTATGGTCTAGTACTCTAAGTATATCTTGTTCACATTTCTGTTAACATGGGTCATCCCAATCGTCAACCACTTCATGGACTGATGGCATATTTTGGTTTAGCCACTCGTACCTTTCTTCCAGTCTACTACACCAGATAACATCCCTCCGTCGAGGTAGACAGTGGTTGGGCATACGTAACATATGTCCCAACCACCTCAGTTGATGAAGATTTAATCCCTCATCTGTAAACTTCTCATCTTTATCCAGTACTTCTAACGCAGCTATCACTTAGTCGGTGGTCCCAAGATACACGAGCCATGCTTCAGGGACACGTGTGATCGAATACTAGTAACCTACGAATATCCTCTGTTCTTAATGGCCATGTTTCACATCTATAAAGTAAAACGGAGCCAACTGCTGCTCAGTAGACTCTCCCATCGGTTGGAAGACGTATATCTGGCTTACGCAACAAGTGACCCAAGTTAACACAAGCCAATAGAGCCTTCTAAATCCTTGCCGGGATTTCATTAGACACCAGATCATCAGTACTGATGGAACTCCCAAGATAATTGAAGTGGCCGGTGCGTTCAATTACTTCACTCCCCATTAATAGATCAGGCGGCGACTTGGGTCAATCCTGAAGTAGCATTTTACATTTGAAGGACAAAAATGTCACCCCAAACATGTTTGCATTGTCGCTTAAAATGGTCAGATGACTGCATTTTGGTTAAGTTGAGAAATAAGCTGAATTAGTGGTGGTCTTAGTGACTTGGGAGCTTGACCGCTGAGCCCAAGCAACAACTGCCTGAGGCTTGTCGAGCACACCCTTTCTGTGGAAGTCTTTGACAAGTTGGCTACTACTTAACCATACATCTGGAGCTCGAATAAAGGGCCTTGAGCTTGTAAGATTTATTTATATTGCTTTTTGAAAGCTCAGTTTCTATAACTATTTTGATAGTGATAACTGTCTATCAGGGGTGAAAAGTCAGGATTATTGTAGTCTATCAGTCATTTTCGAATAGAGGTGTTTGCGCGAGTGTCGGTTGTATTTCAATAACAGATTTGTGTGTCATGGGTCTTTCGTGAAAAATGTGGGTGTTTAGTGTGTTTTTCGTGTTGCATTTTTCCTCATATGTTACAAACAAATTATTTTCCTAATAGTGAATTCCTCTATATTTTGGACATATAAAATCATACTTGATGACATGTTTATAATCCATTTTTTGTAGTTCAGTATCTCCTTTAAATACTTCTGAATCGGTTGAATAGTGGGATTGTTGTCCTTTCCCCTTTCATTTGGATTCCAATTGGTCTATGGGTCAAAAGCAACCAAAATTAAAACAAGATGCTGTTGAAGAATTGCTAAACCAAACATCTTTTACGGAAATCGAAATTCAAGACTGGTATAAGGGATTTTTGAAGGTTAGTTGAGTTGGACATGCTACATAGCTTCCACATTTTCAGTTGTTTAGTGATATTAGTATTTGTTTTATTTCCTAGTGTTTGCCTCAGTTTAACATAAGCAAAGATCTAATGTGAGGTATCACTACGATTTCAGGTAACTTCAACTGGGTTCTTATATCATGTTCATCCTAAGGTAAATGATTGAACGTCCACTGTAGTGCGTAAATAGCTTAATATATCTGAACAATAAAGTGAATATTTGCGTAGTATTTTTAGTCAGCTCCTTATTTTCTACATCTAATTCTTTGCAACAGACAAACGTAGCAGCTCCATGTGGTTTTAAAAATAGAGTACTGCCAATAACCGTCATACAAAATGTGTGGCTGTAAGTTAACTACGTAAATCTGTATTTTACAAATGAGTTACATCGTTTTACTGGAAAAGTTAGACATATATGGGTTAAAATACCATTTAATTAACCATTGAAATATTTGATTGAACTTTAATAATTAGAATTTTAACGCTTCTGAACTTTTTTCGGATAATGTAGTTTATTGGCTAGATCATTAAAGTTGTAACCACTAATTTACAGTCTTTACTCCTGTTCGAGTTGTTTTGGCCAAGCACTGTTACTTGCTCTCATATAAAATTGTAACTGGAGCCTGCGTAAAAGAAAATGTTTAGTTTATGGGTTACGATGTTACGAATATTGAGTTTGACGTTAAAACTATGTTTCACTAAGGACTTATTCAATCCACTTTCATTATTTTCTGATTTCTTTGAACCACTCACCTTAGATTTGTTTGGGATTTTGTTCAGCATAAATTGTCATAGGTTAATATTTTTAGTGCATTGTTAAATGTGGCAAAGCATGTCCAGAGTGTATTTCAGCATTCTACCAAAAACTACTCTACTGGGTTTTAAAACTGATTAGTAAGGTGAAGAGCCAAGACAGTTTTGTTAATGTAAGACGAAATTGGTGTTAAAGCCCTGATTAACTAGTTTGAATTAACATGTCAATAAACTGTGAAAATCCCCTTATGGTTTAGCAGAGACAACAGTTTTTGCTGACTTATCGAAAGTCACAACGAACAAATATAACCTTAATTTACACATGCTATGACATGTACAACTGTTCAAATGTTCAATAATCGTTTTCCAAATTAAAGAAAATAGTCCGATTTTCTATTTATCTCTTCATTTTCTTTGCTTTTTACAAAGGAATGCCCAACTGGTTATTTATCTATTGATGATTTTAAACGTGTTTATACAAAATTTTTCCCATATGGTGAATCTAGTCGGTTCGCAGAGTATGTATTTCGTACATTTGATCAAAATCATGATGGTTTGATTGACTTTCGGGATTTCCTATCTTCATTAAATATAACTAATCGTGGTGATTTGTCACAGAAATTACGTTGGGCATTCACAATGTATGATTTAGACAATGATGGTTATATATCAAAACAGGATTTAATTGAAGTTCTTACTGTAAGTCTTTGATGCTGTTGCTTTGTTTTGTTATATTGTTTTTTTTTTCGTTTCAAGACTAAATTATGGAAATTAATAATTTAGAATACGCAGATAACATAGTCCTGTTTGGTGAAGACACTGATAAAATGCAGTCTATTGGTATCACTGACCAACAATACCAGGATGTTTTGGTTGGGTTTCTCCTCCTCCAAATGCAAATTGTTACTCCAGGACTGGCCTGCGTCAACACCTAAACTAAGGATAGGGAGTGAAGTAGTCAAACGCGTAGACAACTTCACTTATCTTGGAAATCTGATCAGCCCTAATGGGTTGGTGTCTGACGAAATCTCAGCACGGATTCAAAAAGCTCGTTTGGCTTTTGCTAACTTACGTCACCTATGGCGAAGACGAAATATCCGTCTGTCAATTAAGGGACGAGTATACTGCGCAGCAGTTTGCTCTGTTATGCTTTACGGCTGTAAAACATGGTCATTAAGAGTAGAACATATTCATAAGTTCCTAGTATTTGACCACAGATGCCTTAGAAATATTACTCACATCTTCTGGGATCACCAGGTAAGCAAAAGTGAGGTTAGACACAGGGTATTAGGGAACGATGGTAAATCGGTTGATGAGGTTGTGAATCTTCATCAACTGAGATGATTAGGTCACGTGCCTCGTACGCCTGAACATCGATTACCACGATGCGCTATGCTGACTAGTGTAGGGGTTGGTTGGAAGAGAGTTAGAGGCGGCCAAACTAAAACATGGCATCAGTGCTTGAAGTCACTAAATTCTCATCTGAGCCATGTTGGTAGATGCAGACTACTTGGATCGGGTTTACGCGACCATCGTAACTAATGGTTGGAGACTCTGGATGACATGACTCAGAATCGATCACAATGGCGTAGTCTTATATACTCCCTGTCTTCCCTTAAACTATGAGATTACAATTACTTTATACCTTTCTTTCTACGTAATAATTTATTTATTTGAACGCATTAACATAAGTACAAAAAGCCACCAAATAGATATGCACCACATAAATCATTCGATTTGTGTGAGGGATGGGATACTTCCTGGGTGTTCAGATCGAAGCAGGTGGTTTTCTTAAGGGGCCAAGCCCCGAGCCTTTGACCTAGAGGTCTAATCCACAAAACAGTGGAGCAATGTAAAGAGATACAATCCCATGGTAGTCGGTGACCAACAATAAGTTCATATGCCATCTGTTTCCTTAGGATCCTGGAGCCCATGCTCACCATTGATTTGGAATCAGGGTTTCTCAACTCCACTAGGTGGATACGGAGGACCCACCAACCTGGTTAAATCACCGGACATTCACTTTACGTCCTCTCAATTTCGGGGGTGTCCCCGCCTCGAGAAGGCAGTGAGTACGACTTCCCTGGCAGTGGTTGTATGCATGTGGCCATGTGAGAGCATTTCTCCCTGTATGTTATCCTTACATAAAATCTTTTTTCGCTACCATTGAAGTAACTGCTTCTATGAGTTTGGTGTTCATCTTGTTATGCTAAATGAGGCGGGGCAACTTGGATTGATGCATATATGTACCTGGTCCTAAGTTGTAGCTGACTGACTGAATTTAAAGGAACCAATGCATAGCAACTTGTTTTTCAATGAAGTCGGGACATTTTCATAGCTTCATAGCCATGCAATTTTTCGCGGTTAAGCTATCGGTCCTTAGCTCCTGCAGTGTAAATACGCGGTATCGAAATCCGAATTTTCGGAATCCTTTTTCATTTTATAGTAATAGCTTTCCATAAATGGGTGCAGAATATCTGTTTTCACTTTTAGCGTGACTGGTTCTCCGTTTAGTATAATCACCTACGAGACCTAAATATCATTAGATATTTATCAAAATAAATACAACTGACAATTATAATAAAATTCATAATTACGCTTAAAATAAGTTCGTCCGGTTGACAAGGGATAGAATCTACTGCTAATAAAGAACATTTTAAACCAACGCATTCACTAAACGGTTAAGTGGCTAATCGTGTCAAGCTTTTTTATTGTCAGTCAAGACGTTCATATGGCCTCATTTTAAAGCGACTGTGGTTCTTTCTTTTTCATAGTGGTAAATTTCGAGTGTAACTATAATTATTCAGAAAGTAGCTGTTGGTTTACGTGTTATCGAAATATGTGTTCAACATGTCTAGGTGTGCCCGCTTTTCTCCCAAATATAAGGACATAAAGCATGCTGAGAAACAAATTATCTCCGGCTGTAATTACATTCGAATTTGAATCTAAACTAGTGATGACTAGAGCTCATTGATAATAAAAAGATAGTCAGTGTACGAATTGTTGACTTTTACATGCATCTTAATAAAATAATAACCAATTATACTATTTTTAGAACTATTAATATCATCGGGAAATAGATTTGAGAAGTACAGATTGGCAAGGTGTAAAAAATTGTTCATTGATGTGGTTGCCAGTGTGAGTAATAACTTCAAACCACATTTATTTTAATGTTGTTCATCCATATGTAGTTATGGTATCTGTTTAATAAACTTGCTTTAGTATCAAACATAATATTCAATAGAACTTACGCTCTGAAGTTGATTTCACCAGCTTAAAAACACATCGAACAAGAATTGGTGAAATTCTCTTTAACATTTTGCTTTACCACGTAGTATCAGTCATTTGACAATCAAATTCCCTATTTTTTACGTACGGAATTAAAAAAATATATACTCTGGTGTGAATGTTCATTCTGAAACAATGATCTAGAAGTAGTACGCTCTCTATGCAAGACCCGAAAGTCCTAGGTTCTATTTCTATAATGAACCGTCTGTCGAATATTCCTTGGTTTCCAATAGTTCACCAGCTGAAGGTTATTTCATGATGAAAACCATCTTCGAAATCAAATTAACCAAATAGACAAAATCTTTTCTCACTATTGTGAATATTCTTGTTACTTGTATCCCGATTAAACCAGACAAACAGTGTTTACAGTTAAAATATCAGTATATTTCTGTTTTTTTTTCTACAATTGCAATCACACGTATGTAGTATTGGAATTCAGCAGTTGTCAGTTCTTCACCTCTATTTCAATAATATCGTGTAACTGTGTTTATTTTGTGACGGGATGAGTGCATATCCGTATATTAGTTGGGATTAAAAATTAACGCAATATAACTTATGATGAGATTTGTTAGTTATGGGTTCTGTGCAAGTCTAGGTTATCTACTGTTTACAAGCTTGAAATTAACTCAGTAGTTCTTTATTATTTTTTGGGTTTTGGTGATGTATCTTGGGATCGTATTTGAATTCAGAAAGTTAAGCACATTAACTCAAGATACTGTGTTAAAGTAATTTGGTTATCTCCTCTTGGATGTGTTTAGTCACAAGCCCTAACTTCTTTCATCTACTGACTTAGAAAGTCAGTTTGTATTGTTGCCCATTGTTTGCAGTAGGTTAAAGATTAGTCCATAAACATAAATTTCGATGCTGGATTCCATTTGACTTATCAAGATCACAATGTTTTCTCTTCTTATACAAATACACTAGCTATAAGTTCACTTTGAGTCAGTAACATTAATTCCTTACAATAGATACAGTTTAGGTTATCACTGTTTGTGTCTCGCAAATTTCTTGTCCCTGTAGCGCAAATACCCTGATACAGCCGAGAGTGGGGAGAGTCAGATCTCCCTATCGAAATGCTCTCACATGGCCACATGCATACAACCACTGCCAGGGAAGTCGTACTCACTGCCTTCTCGAGGCGGGGACACCCCCGAAATTGAGAGGACGTAAAGTGAATGTCCGGTGATTTAACCAGGTTGGTGGGTCCTCCGTATCCACCTAGTGGAGTTGAGAAACCCTGATTCCAAATCAATGGTGAGCATGGGCTCCAGGATCCTAAGGAAACAGATGGCATATGAACTTATTGTTGGTCACCGACTACCATGGGATTGTATCTCTTTACATTGCTCCACTGTTTTGTGGATTAGACCTCTAGGTCAAAGGCTCGGGGCTTGGCCCCTTAAGAAAACCACCTGCTTCGATCTGAACACCCAGGAAGTATCCCATCCCTCACACAAATCGAATGATTTATGTGGTGCATATCTATTTGGTGGCTTTTTGTACTTATGTTAATGCGTTCAAATAAATAAATTATTACGTAGAAAGAAAGGTATAAAGTAATTGTAATCTCATAGTTTAAGGGAAGACAGGGAGTATATAAGACTACGCCATTGTGATCGATTCTGAGTCATGTCATCCAGAGTCTCCAACCATTAGTTACGATGGTCGCGTAAACCCGATCCAAGTAGTCTGCATCTACCAACATGGCTCAGATGAGAATTTAGTGACTTCAAGCACTGATGCCATGTTTTAGTTTGGCCGCCTCTAACTCTCTTCCAACCAACCCCTACACTAGTCAGCATAGCGCATCGTGGTAATCGATGTTCAGGCGTACGAGGCACGTGACCTAATCATCTCAGTTGATGAAGATTCACAACCTCATCAACCGATTTACCATCGTTCCCTAATACCCTGTGTCTAACCTCACTTTTGCTTACCTGGTGATCCCAGAAGATGTGAGTAATATTTCTAAGGCATCTGTGGTCAAATACTAGGAACTTATGAATATGTTCTACTCTTAATGACCATGTTTTACAGCCGTAAAGCATAACAGAGCAAACTGCTGCGCAGTATACTCGTCCCTTAATTGACAGACGGATATTTCGTCTTCGCCATATATATCTGGTACCCCTTTGTACCGATATTTATGTTTTTAAATCGATAAATGAGCCCAATTAGATTACGATAAGCGTTAGGCAATTTACCGTCTGTTTATTTTTAAAAACTCGCGTGAATGTATAGGTCAACTGCATGTTCATAACTCATTACGAATATGAAGTCTTAATCTGTACATTTTTGGTGTAAAACTCAGTAATAGAATTATAATTATTTAATTCTAATTTACGAGTGAGTAAAACATATGTCAATAGTTTATTAGTTAAATAGAGGTTTACTTTTAAAGCAATATAAAAATTCAGTATAGCAACTACTTAATTAATAAATATTAGAAAAATATACATATATATTTTAATTTGTTGGTAAATAATTTTCAAAATTTCACCTTTTCTAACAAAAATGATCTAGCTATGTGGAGTTTGTTGAGGTTTCGTTTCATTTGAAAACCCGTGGAACCTGAGGAACCTACTACAAAGTCGTTTCATTCTCGTTTAATACTTCTCGTCAGTTTATGTATTCGCTATCCTCCTGATACAAAAAATCAACATAAGATGGTGTTTGGAGGTGGTCAACAGGAAACTCTGGACCCAGGTTTCGTACTACTTGACACTCGTCAGCAAGGTGTACCTGTAATCTTGAGGGAACCGGTGCTCCCCAAAGGATTCGATCCCGTTCCACTCAGCTTCACAGTCAGAGACGTTGCCACTGAGCTATTCGGGCCGCGACCGACCTCCTGTAGGAGTGATATGTAATCACAATTGATTGATCACTGGATGGTGATCAATGTCATACCTGTTGACCACCTCCAACCACCATCTTATTTCAACATGGTGCATGCAGTGTCGAGCCACCTACACTAGTGGCCACATTGCAACTTGATCGATAGCATTCGATCAGCACTAAGCAGGACTTGACATACATGATATTGATCACCATCCAGTGATAAATCAATTGTGACACAAAATCAAGCTTCGTAAATTCATGTCTCGTGAGTGAAACAATACGATTCTACTGTTGAGTTAAAATGACTCTTTTTAAATGTTATTGTGTAATACTTAATATCATGTTCAGTTACAAAGATTAATAGATGAAGATATTTTGTTTATGTTTATATTATACGATTTTTAAAAGCTTTCCAAATAAATTAGTTATATATATATCTGTATTACATTATATTTAGGCTATTTATGCGATGGTTGGCTCTGCTGTTGAATTCAATGCTACAGATTCTACACCAGAAAAACGAGCAGAGAAAATATTTCAACTGATGGACTTAGATAGAGATAATCGTTTATCATTAGATGAATTTATAAATGGTGTAAAATGTGATAAATTATTGATGCGTTTGTTGACTTTCAATACTCATTCGTTGCATCATCAACATTTAGATTATCTATTAAATGGATCAAATGATAACAAAGGATGTCCATGTACAGATACACATTATAATCATCAATCTAATGATTATGACAATACAGTCAAACCAATTGTAAATCAATCATTTCCTAAACAGAATGTCATTCCTGATACCTCAGAGTCTTAGAACAGATTCATTCCTTTGAGTATATATATATATATATATATATATAATTTGTAAAGGTAATTATCTTGATAAATTTAATCTTTAAAAATTCTTGATATATTATTATACTAGATTATTATCAGAATGAGGGTTTGTGGGGATTGTAGTAATTTTAATAGTTGGATTCATAAGCCGATCTAAGCTAGATCATCATTGAGTAAATGCGCACTGCTAAAAAGTTTTATACTGGAACAAAACGGCTGTCCAGTGCTTTCAGGTTTTCAGTGGTGGTCTAGCTTAGATCAACTCATTAATTCATCTATTAATATTATAGTGGATGTTTATCATTTTATCAGTACATATGTTATAGGGTTATTTGATTTTTACGCTCTTACATACTTGTAACTTCTGAGATTTCTCTCCTCCTCTCTCCATGATACAAAAGATATTTTTCTTTCATAATTAGTTAACTCAAAAAGGAATCAAAAAGTGTTGTGTATTGCCTTGGAATTTTAGAAGCTTCTGGAAGACATACTGTTATGAGTATTAATTAATGTGCTCAGTAGGTTTCATTAACAAATAATATTTACCATTGGCTTTCTATGTTTTAGAGTAAACTTACAGTGAGTAAGCATTTTAAGAACATGCTACAGTATATAATCATTCCGTTGATTTTCTCTTCAAAATTCTGTATACCAATCGATTGATGAACATGAAATAATGGTATACTTTCTCAAATTAACAATTTTTTAATTGAGATCATGAACTGATGAATGTTCTGCCACCATTGGAAAGTTGAAAGCACTGGACGGCCGTTTTGTCCTAGCATGGGATTCCTCGGCAGTGCATATGTGTTACCATGCACGCAGGGCTCAAACTCAGGACCTTCGGTTACCAATAAAAAGCCGACTGTAAATATATATATATATATATATATATATATATATATATATATATTAATGCAGAATTGTTATATTTTGTAACCGAGTGGATGCCTAGTTAATGTATGGCGTGATAAGGCCGCCAATCAGAGACCAGCGAATTATCGATTGGAACAGTGACACACGAAAACCGTACGAGCAGTCTAGAGTACGTGCCTGTCCTGCTTTCTGCCTAGCCCAGCCAGTTAAGTCCAAAACACTAATAACAGCCTCTGTGGTATGAATCCTTGTATTCCAAACATACTGAGTTTATATACCAAACAGACTGACCACATCGTACCAACAAAATGGAAAATAACATTTGTACAAGAGTTAGCCAAATGTGGTTATGAATAGGGGGAGCAGTAATTAATAGATTGGGTGTAACTCAGGAATGGTAAATCGTACAATAATAGTACAAGGGTCAAAATGAAGCTCACAATGAAAGGAACATGAATATGAGTAGTTTAATTATTTAGCAAATATACGATAAAATTTATATGTATAATATTGGTCCATAAATGAATCCCAAAGTTACCATTCACTATTGTTATCGGGGCATAACAAGAATAATATAAATTGTTTATATTTCCTAGCTTTTCATCAGCCGCTTACAGCCATATATGTATTGACGGTTAACTTTGAGTTGAAATGTAATGTAAAACAAATGGCATAGATGAACAAAAGAATTAGAATAAAAACGTTTATCAAAAGTAACTATAAATATATCTTATATGTGTATATATTGGTGTAAGAACACGTTAGAGATCATTTGGAGTTGAAATTCAAATGGTATGCCTAGTGTTAAGTAAATGCCGATCTATTGCACTCTTTAGGGGCATTGCGCCTTCTAGTCTCAATTTCTTTGGAACGTGCTCGGAAATGCGAACATGTATCCTTTTCTCTGTCCTTCCAATGTACGTGTTTGGCATGTACATGTAAATCGGTAAATGTATTTGAAGGTACTGAGAAAAGAGGACCTGTCAATCTTTGTTTAAGTGAGCAATTCGTTTCACATGACGTCGTCAGTCTTGTTGATGGATGAGCGACCTTCAACTCGGCATTTATCCTGTGATTAATTATCCTAGTGATTTCATCTTCTTTAAAGCGCGAATATAAAAAGCAGATTCTCTTATCAACTGTATCGTATTTAACCCCCCGTAGGTTTGTCTTCGCATGCTTCTCTATGAATTTTTTTGGATATGCATTTTCACATAGGCAATTTGTAATGAAGACAATTTCTACTTCTAGGCTTGCCTTCGAGCAAATTTTACGAGGGCGATCATAAAGGGTTTGTACAATTCCGTTTTTATAACTTGTTGGACAGAAACTGTTGTAGTTGTGATAAGCTCCACTTCAGGTATTTTTGCAGTGGATGTGCATCTGTAATATGTCATCTGGAGTTCGTTTGGTTCCAATATTAAAGAAATGGAATTCATCTTCTATTTCATGTTCCACTGTAAAATATATATCCCTGTGTGCTTTGTTACCGAGTAAAAAACTAAGTCGAATTGAAACAGAAGCACTCTCCCTGTGATTCAAATTTCATATTGCGAAAAAATGTAACAGAATCGACACTGAAACTCAATTCGAATATTTATATCAACTGTCAAACCTAAAACCCATGAATGATGAAAAATAAAGTTAGTTGAAATCGAAATTATTACAAATCAGTACGTTACGACACCAGTTACTCAATGTAGGGTGTTGAGTAAGGATCATCATTGGGCACTGAGAAAACTTATGAAAGATGAAACAATAATGCTACTTCATCCGGACAAGGGTTCCGGTGTAGTCATCCTAGTCAGAAACGATTACTTTAGCAAAGTAATGTCTACTTTAAATAATGCCTTGAAATTTATCATCAAAAATACTCAGAAAGACCTGACAGATGCGACTAAAAAGCGTCTTTCGAAAAAGTTGAGAAAATTATTGAGGAAAAATTTAATCAGTAAGAATAACTTACAATGAACTCAAACCGAAAGGATCACAATTACCTTACTTATTCGGATTACCTAAAATACACAAACTCGCCCCCTGATTGACTAAGTGTTTAAAACCAATCCGTAAGAAACTAGCTCCCTACATTGTGTAGGATACTTTCGAATTTGTACAAAAGCTTGACAGCTTAAGTGCTTCGGATATTAGATTTTAGTTATACGACCAAAGAAAAAAACTTATTTGTATAATATAAGGTTTCGTCCCTTGACACTAGTGATAATTCCCAGGATTTTGTACGGCAACTGACAGTAAGTTGGTTCAACAGGAGTGTGGCTGTGAAAGTCATGCCGTAGACTCAATATTGTGATAACTTAGTGGATCAGTTATCCATATTAGTGTTTACGGATGTATAGTTAGAAATAGCTCTGCATACAATCTAGTCGTGGGCATTAGGTCAAACAGAAGCTATAAATTAATCCGTTTGAAATTAAATATGTGAAATCAATATAGCTCACGTAGTGCCATTGAAGATTATGTCCTCAGTTAATCGAATGCTTATAAGTTAGTAAAGTGAGTGCAAGTCATGTGATTATCAGAGAGAACGTAGGTTATAGTCAAAGGGAGCATAACACCCAACCTATTTCTATGACAATTGTTTGGAATTTCGGTCAGTGTTTAAATACAACAGTGATGCTTTCAGTTTGCGGATTTCGCTCTACTGTAGACGCTGATGATTTGCACAAATCTCTCATCAAACTGATAAAGTTCCAACCAACTAATAGCAAAAGTTCTTTTTTGAAAATATCGGTATTAGATAATGATAACTATGGGAAAACCACACTATTTGTGGAAATAGTTATCAGTCATATCATCGATTGATTTAATTCTTAGTTTCAACGCTTATATAAACCATATTACGTAATTACCAAGTCGTAGCGATGTCGAGAAACCATTATGAATAGCTACTTGTAGTTTAGATTTGGCATTAGCTGTGGAAAGAAAGTAGTATTGTTTTAGATACCGAAGACTTTTGGTGGTTTGGAATACATTCACGGTTGTTGATTCGGAAATGTTAGAAGTTAAAAATTAAAAAAAATAGTTTGAATAATGCCACTGAATCTGGGTCACCTGATTGCATTACAATTCATGTTTCAGAAATATTCGTTAACTTAGTACTTAGCCTTTATAAGCATGTAAAAATGACTGAGAGCCATTGACAAGTATTAAACTATTGTTTGATCTAAATGTCTCCTTTAAAAATCACTTCTAATGATAGTATGTCATATGGAACCATGCAATGTGTCTCATAAAAAACGAGTTCGTGGGTGGTGTTTTGAATAGTATATAACTAGTCCAGATGAGTATAAGATGCTGCATGTTATGAAGCATCTTAAACCATGATAAATCATTTAGTGAACTGGCGAGGATCGCCTGGATTGTTTTTGGAATTCATCATTATTGCAATGGTCTGAGTTTATAGTAGTGAGGTTTTGTTTGATGCTTCCATCTAACTTTCTCATTGTCTTCTTTTATTAGCGGAGAAATTAAGAAAAATTATTACTTTCACAGGCGAAGCACGCTCATACTACTTACCTCAGTCGGAGATTCTCCGTTTCTTTGTGACATGCCTGTTGTTTTCGATTTATATTACTCGGCCGATTGTTTAGGGATAAACAGCTTATGTACATGTTCATGACCTCAATCAATAGCTTAATTATCTCCACAACCCTATACTTCTAGTTACCATGTGCTCACTGGTGACTAGCTTCGTGAGGGAATTCTAGTGAGAAACCGTGATCAGGGCAGCTAATCTGAGACAGGTATCTACCTCAGTGCAATGGAAGGTGGTGTCCTCTATATCTGACTCCAATAAACAAATATCCCGTTAACTGAATATTTAATGCAGGTTAAATCTCCTAGTCGAATTACGGGTTTACTCGAGATTATTCAAAAGCCTGGACACCAGTTATAGAGATAGTTTATTGTTGAACTTTGGTAAAATCCCCAAGCGTACAGATAGCAAACAGGGAAAACAAGTGCGTGTGTGTGTCCATGAGTGTTAATGGGTTGTGGATAAATTATTGATTGTCTTTCTTTACAACCAATGGTAGAATAGATTAAAGGTTGATTTGCAGACACATGCACTCAATCAGACTAACA